TCCAGACTCGATTATTTACATGCCGCCGTCATAAAGCTGGAATATTGCTAAGTTCGGCGTCAAGCAACAAACAAACGAAATTCAGTTTTTATGTGGGTCAGGGTTATCAACCACTGGTGAATCTATCTCTTTATAAATGAAGGTATTGTTGTGTACAGTGGGGCAAATCCGGAATAACGTGGTCTTTTTATTATCATTAACTTGTTTTCATAGAGGCGGTTGTGAAATAAAACTAAAATCGCAAATTATTTCTCGAAAACCAAAAAAGCTGTGGCCGTAGGTTGAAACAAATGTAAAACAAACGTGCTCCGTGAATGACTTCTTTGAATAGCCCCTTTATCTTAATTATTAAAATATAGGTTATACAAACATTTATCAATTTGCTGTGTATAGTTTTACAGGAAAACGGAAATCAATCAAATTAACTGCCACACCCCTTTCTCATATCAATCTACTCTTTAACTATCATAACTTCATCATTGGTTACAAAATCAGATTTGGTAGGTATAATAGTTTTAAAAAGGAATAGGGTTGGGTCCTCTTTACAGCAACGCTACAGTGGAACCTCGTTAATCTGGACCGCTCGACGAGAGCTCGGTCCGGGGATTATTGGAGGTTAGGAAACAATTCAACCTAAGTTAACCAACAGTCCGGAATCCATTCCGTAAAAGTAACCCACGTTTCTAATAAGAACTGTCTCATGTATCTCGGAACCAGACATTTCCTTAACCAATCCCAAGTTCGTGCACCATTCGTCCCCACTCGCCCCTTTCCGTAACCATTTGGCTTGTTCCCGAATAAGACGAGTTGGTCACGAATGGTTCATGCACATTATTCTAATTTCTCCGGACCAGCGATTTTTTTTCAGTCGCCCCTGATTTTAGGTATTAATAAGGTATTTTACAGACGCATCGTTCAATATGACTGCCATTGTTTGTGCAAGAAATTAAGTCACAAAAAAATTCTATTCAAATAACATTTATTACTGTCCGCGTTATAGAGCCGATGGAAACAAGTTCGCATGAAACAGTACTGTCCGCGTTATAGAGCCGATGGAAGCAAGTTCACATGAAACAGTACTGTCCGCGTTATAGAGCCGATGGAAGCAAGTTCACATGAAACAGTACTGTCCGCGTTATAGAGCCGATGGAAGCAAGTTCACATGAAACAGTACTGTCCCGTTATAGAGCCGCTGGAAGCAAGTTCACATGAAACAGTACTGTCCGGGTTATAAATAAATACGACAAACGCCTTTCCTTAACCAGAAGAAATCTCTGCTAAAACCAGTTGATAGTACGATACCGACTGTATACTTAGTACATCATTCTAAACTCCTAAATTCCGATCGATTTCACAAATGCAAGAAACAGTACTGTCCGCGTTATAGAGCCAATGGAAGCACGTTCACATGAAACAGTACTGTCCGCGTTATAGAGCCGATGGAAACAAGTTCACATGAAACAGTACTGTCCGCGTTATAGAGCCGATTGAAGCAAGTTCACATGAAACAGTACTGTCCGGGTTATAGTGCCAATGGAAGCACGTTCGCATGAAACAGTACTGTCCGCGTTATAGAGCCGATGGAAGCAAGTTCACATGAAACAGTACTGTTCCGTTATAGAGCCAATGGCAGCACGTTCACATGAAACAGTACTGTCCGCGTTATAAAGCCGTTGGAAGCAAGTTTAGTTAAAGTTCAATTACAGACTTGCATACGTTCTGTAAAACATGGGCGGATCCAGAGCCCCCCCTTTTGAAAAGCAAATGTAGTTTGTTGTCGGCAGTAAAGTGATCAGAGAGAAGATTTTGAGCTCAATGTCAATAAGTATCCTTCAAGTCGATGATATATTTTTGTTGTTTTATTGTTTAACGCCGCACTCAACAATATTCCAGCCATATGACGTCGATCTTTAAATAATCTTGACCAGACAATCCAGTGACTGATATCATGAGAATCGGTCTACGCAATTAGGATACGATGACATGCATCAACCAGGTCAGCGAGCCTGATCACCCGATCCCGTTAATCGCCTCTTACTACAAGCATAATCGCATGTTACGACAACATTCCTCCTCAATAAATCAGGGGACAAAAGCATGGACCCCAGTACTAACACCAGCGTCAACAGTCAGGTTTGAGTAATTCCGATGGACAGCGCTGCTGGGCTGTGCTATACGATGTAATCAATAATTACTCCCTACAGCGTAGTTTAACACAATGTAGGTATGGCAAGTTATTTGTGATAGCCGACAGTTGCCGTGTTCGTACTGTATGATAAAGCCGAATGTTGAAAAAACCGCTTGCAGAAAACAGAGTAATGAAATGTCCAATCAGGATGTACTTGTAATCTGATGTGACATTGATGAAGTCATCCGACCAATCACTCTTCTCCGCAATCTCGGTTCGATTTCTTGGGCCAATGAAATCAGAAAAGGAGATCCCTCGAATTTCTGTCTGTCATTTCACATAATCTGTAGAAACGACAGTTTTTAGCGGCGAGTTAGACGAGATGCGAGATAACAAGCTATCATGTGCACAGCATCGGCTAAAAACGAATCCGGCAATTTGCTTGTGGCAAGGTTATTTCCCCAATCGACGTGAAATCAACACGGAATGAACACGGCTGAGAATAGAGTCGCAGTAATCAATATTACGGAGAACTAAGGAGGTACTGTACGTCTTATGAAGTAGGCTAGCGTTATTCGACTCCGTATTCCCACGCGCGTACTCTCTGTAAGAACTGTCTCTCCTGCTTAAATGAACTGGGTGTGTGTGATATTATCTTGAAAGACTTTTGTTACTTTCGTGATTGAATTAAAGACAGTCGTCTTTCCTGGTCTTGGGAGATTCAAACATATTGACGAACACTTTTATCATTCTAAATGAGGTTTGGCTTTTGTTTAATCAATAGTTACTCTATTTAAGTGAGATTCCTCACGGAAAGATGAGAATGATTTTTCGTCTATGTGTTCAGATTGTGTTAACGGTATTCGACAAGAGTAAAGATTTAGAGTGGCTGTTCAAATGATATAGATCTACCGGACGAATCAAGGTTTCAATTAAGACTGTCTATAAATATTCGTCCTTCAAAGAACCTGTTAGGCTAAAAGGAGGAACACTTTTGTTTCAGATAATTGATATGGTTAGATAAATATTACAAAAATAATACATTTTAGTTTAAATAATACTACCTTGAAATTGGCTGATTTTGTCTGTGGCTGATGACATAAACACGAATAATGTATTTTCGCGTCGATGGAAAGTTTAGAAAAAAATAACCGTTTCCACAAGGCACTCTTCACTAAACTATTTTCATTTGTTATTGAATGAATTTAGAATTGTTAAGGGATGTGCTTCTACTAAATGAGATTGCAAAACATTTCAGAGAATACAGTCTTGAACGAAGAATTGGCAAGCACATCGTACGTTTTAAGTGTCAGTGAATATCAACCATCAGTATTCTGCTTGCATCTGGCACGGATGCCTGTAAAGTGACCTCTAGCCTTGCTTAAAGGCTGTACTGAATGATAAGACCATGGATGTGTAGTAATTCTATCTCCTTATAGGCAAGTCTAGATGTGTGGACTCCAGTTTCTAATAGGGACAACTTGTTCTTATTATTTACATAATCTAGAAATTGATTTAAACTAATAATTATTGCCCTAGAGACTTGTGCAAGTCTAAATGACCTGTTAAATTGGAGTTAAATTGGATGCAAACAGTGAGTTAATGGCTGGTCGTGTTCACGCCCCCAATAAATGGCAGTTCGCCTTGGGATGTATACATGTAATGGGTCAGACAGGAGATGTGAGGGTAGTGGAGATGAAATAATTTTATTCTAACCCGATATACAAGTTGTGTGTGCAGATGACAGTGCAAGGAGGAATGTTGATGTACGCCCAACCATAGGCATGTAAATAAGGGGTCAGTGGAGGGAAAGTTATGTCACCTCAACGAGCGTCTTTGTATGCAGCTGAGGGGGGACTCCGTGAGACATGCTTGCAGCTGATGTCATGTGCGGCCCCGCCTTCACTGTCGCCTGGTGTTGAAAGTATGCATGGCTGCACCTAGAGTGCACTTTTCGTTCAATATCAAACGTCAACACCAGAGTGTGAGTGGGTAAGTATGTTTTTAAGCCGCGTTTAGCAACATTTCAGCAAACCAGAAATGGGCTTCACTCATTGTACCCTTGTGGGGAATCGAACCCGTGTCTTTGGCGTGACGAGCGAACGCTTTAACCACTAGGCTACCCAACCGCCCCCAACACCAGAGAGTAACCAGCCTCGATTGTCCACGGAAGAGATTCCATTTGGCATTAAAGACAAAATAGAAACTTATATGAATGATAGTAATTAACTTCGCAGTCAAGTAACGTTTTGATAACTACATATATATTTTATCAAATTCAATTTTCAATTGTATACTTTTGCCCGGCAGTTCAGATTTTAACATCTGTTTCTGTTTCTGTATCAGCGACAGAGAGTGATGGGGATGCGTCATAGTTCCTATACCCGTGAAGATCCGGGGTAGAATAGGTCTTCAGCAACCCATGCTTGCCGTAAAAGGCGACTATGCTTGTCGTAAAAGGCGACTAACGGGATCGGGTGGTCAGGCTCACTGACTTGGTTGATGCATGTCATCGATCCCAATTGCGTGGATTGATGTTCATGATATCAATCACTGGATTGTCTGGTCCAGACTCGATTATTTACAGACCGCCGTCATATAGCTGGAATATTGCTGAGTGCGGCGTTAAACAACAAACCAACCAACCAATCTTAAACAAAATACAGAAAATAGTTGCACCGAAAACATCCCTCTTGAACCTTTTATTGCATGTCTGTAACCAGTGTCTGACATTTCGACATCAGACAGTGGGGGTGCCTGTTGGCATTTCCCCATCACAGTCGGGTGTCCTTCTGACATTATGGGTTAATTGTATCTTTCCGGCTCACGGGGAGACTGCAGTGCTGAGGAGATATAAAGCTTGAGGCGCATATTCTCGCCCAGTGTCGTTTTTCTGATACCTGAAACATGGGATCGACCTGAAGTCCATGTGCTCGTTTCTCGAAGGATAACTATTTGTTTTAGAAGTCGTGAGATTATCGCGGACCGTTTGACAGTTACGCTTGACTGTAGAATGGTATCGAGAAATATCACAGGGCATCCCAAGTCAAAACATCCCCTAATCTGAAACTGTCCTGGAGGTTTTGGCACCCGGCGAAGCAAACACATCACCGTTTGGGTCTTTCAGATCGCGTGTCGAAAAATCGATATCTGGTGATATGCACGGCGGTTTAAAGAGGTCATTTGTGACGTCATGTGTCGCTTTAGAAAACCCGACGGCAGCCAAGAAAGCATCGTCAGAGAGGACCTGAAGCAGCTATAAATAGTTCTGACCAACCGAGCGAGACTTGTACCCACAGGACGTTATTTTCTGGCTGACCCCGAGAAGCGAGTCTGAAGATTGTAGATTCGCCATACGTGTCAGCGAGTTGTGTTCTGTGCGATCTGCCCCGGTCGTTCACACTCCACTCCCAATGGCGGGGGGCACGACGAGTGAGACGGAGCCCATGACGGGGGAGACGAGGAGAGGTGAGCAGGGCGGGGCAGGGATGTCTGGGGTGGGTGTTGTGGCGGGGAGACGTGTACACGGGTCACTGTGACCCTCGCGTAAACAAGCATGTTTGCATGTCACACACACACCGCGTGGTATGTATACGGTGTATGGAGTTTTCAGCCCAAGTTTAAGGTACCGTTGTTTTGTCTCATTAGATAATCGTCCTTAATTCATGGTATTAATTCTGTAATGTATATAATTGATGATTTTGTTTCATAATGTTTATATTTTCGTACCCCTAACAGGGGTGTCCTATATTCAGGTCATCACCATGTTGTATAATCAATTCATTTTTTTGTTTGACACTCACTGAAGATAGTCAATTAAATATGACAAACCGAAATATCTTGGTTTCACATTCCTTGGTGCTTTGTCATTGTAACAATTACTGCGGTAAGATTTCCGTGTTTTGGCCGAGGTGCATATTATGACTGGTATGTGTACGTAAACTCCTCATAGCGCTCACACCACGTCGACAGTGTGGTGAAATATTTGCACTATGTCATGTGCTGCTGATAAGGCGATGTGTCAGAATCTAGACACAACACTGTTGAGGCTCATTGCCACGATTTAACATGCACCGGCAAACACATGATAATACATGTACCCAGTTTCAATGAAAGAAATAAGGGATGGAGATTTGATTGGGTGTTATGAAATTGATTACTCAATTTGGGTCACGAAGCCTAACACAAGCACACGTCAATCAAATATGCCGGATCGGCTTCGATCAGCTTCACCAGCTGTTCACTGTACTGTGAAAACATTTGCAATAAACGCGGGAGTCACGTGAATACGTCATACAAGTGAATACAAGCGACAAAACCCTTTCCATAGTCAAAAGTCTCTACTTAAAGCAGTGTCAATTTTTCGATTCTGACTTTTGTTTATGAATCACTGTCAAATAGCGATGAGACCGGGTGTTCACGAAAAGGTGAGCGTATCCTTCTTCGCCGGTGGCACCCGTCACAAACACATGCAAAGGCAAGTCAGTTGTTCAGCTGAAAACACTGGAACATATGACACAAGTCAAATAGACAACTGCATCGGACATTATGTTTGGACATCAGTTTTGTCACGAATGCGTCAATTTAGGAAATGTCTTCTACATGCCTACCATAAAACCTTTTAAAAGATTGAAATTTCCTGAGGTTATAAACTGAAATATAATCAAGGACATGTAGATTTAACAGAACTTCTAAAATCTTAATAAAGCACATTCCATTCATAACATAATTCTAAAATTCATACACTTTTATTGTTGAAAACGATTGAAGTGATTTTGTCCGGAAAGCCAACCGATAACTGAAGACTCGCTAATGATGATCCGTACTGGATAATTAATGCGCTACAGCACGCTCGGTATTTCCAAATAACCCCGTACAAATGTTTTTACTCTTATGTGTCATGGGCGACTATGAACTCAATTATCTATTTGTCCTACATATTCTACAGTCAAAGGGACAGAGATTTACTGTGAACATGTAAGAAAGACCCACGTGTTCCGACACGCCACAAACAATTGATGGGCGGGGCAGTAACGGAATGTAGGTATTATACCTGGTATTACATTTGTAGTATTGGACTTAAAGCATGATTATACAACAAAGGAACCATTGAAACAAGACTAGCGGTACCCCTACTTGCCTTTCTGTTAGCCTAATTGTTGCATGTGTAAGTTCATGTATAAGACTTTGTAGAGAAACGTTTACATAATTACTGAATTCTTGTAAGGTGATTAGCAGAAAAGGCGATTGTGTGGGACTTTGTGGCGATAAAGTAATAATTGTGCGCATGGTATGTGACCCACTTCCACGGGGTAGGCCTCGTGGATGCGCCGCCGCATGAGTCTTAGACGGATAATGTGGCATTAAGATGGGCAACCACATTGTTGACCTAGGTTCGGACAGGGCCAGGGAGGCTTAGGAGGTCTTGTACACAGTCGACAAAACGCCGTGATGATGCCAGGGCGAGGTAGGAACGTTGTGCATGATGGCGTGCAGTTTCACGCTGTTGTTCCGTATATGATATGATGTGCTGTGATGTGAGCGACGTGACACGTGTGTGTGTGTGTGTGTGTGTGTGTGTGCATCTCTGTGTTTGTGCGTCTGTGTGTCTGTGTCTGCTTGTATTAGTTCGAATAATGAATGTTTTAACATGCTTGCCTACTGAGATACCGTGCCGCAGTTTAACATGAATACTCCACTCAGACACAGTATACTGATTCCGAGCCAGGCATGGTAACAACAAGTGCCATCTTGTAACGTGTTTTGGTATGACCGGCCGGGGATCGAACCTCGGACCTTCCGCTCTCCGGACAGACGCTCTACCCACTTGACCACGGAGGGGGTTCGATGTATGAGATGCTCCTATAGAATATATGTATTGGATTTGAACACTTCACTTGTACTACTGGGATCTTGAGGGACATTCTTGTGGCTGTTCTACGAAGCGCGCAAGTACTGTAAACAGTGTATTCTCGTACCGTTAACAACATATTTCAGTACACAGACATATTTGTAACACTCCGGACAACCTCACAGTGATGAATTACTTCCTTTCGTTTGATCATTTACCGCATGTGACTCGAAATGGTTCTTTTTACAAGTGTTAACACGTACGTGCAGAAGAACACCTTTAACAACTCATGTATATAAGAATGTCACAGTTTCTACGATACTGTTATAATGAATCGTGTTTATTGCTGTGTTTTCAATGAGTCTGTGACATTATATCACTGACCTAACACGGTCGGACTATTTAAATGCAATTACGTGAAGTGTGTGAATAATCACTCTTTCTGTCGGGCACGTTAGTTTTAAAAATTTGTAATCTTTCAATTCGTCCGACATTATATAGCTCTAATTGTAGGTAAGCCGACGTAGCTAAGACTATGATTATCAGACTTAGTTGGCTTCTATGTGTCAACGTGTACTATCAAAGAATATTTTGTGCATTTTTGTTATGATTTTTGCAGCAGTACCAAAACGTTTGCGGATGGTTAGGTAACCGCGTTGTTAAAGCTTTCGCTCATCACGCCGATGGCCCTGTTCGATCCCCAACAGGTGTACAATGGGTGAAACACTTTACAGGTCTACCGCCTTAATTCAGCTGAAATATTGAGTAAGCGGCGTCAAACTACCTCAAATACTCACGCAAAAACGCTTGCAATACTATTGCAATAGTTGTATTACCATAACGCTACTATTACAATTATAAGGATTTCTGGTCGTAAGAGGCGACCAAGTGAATCGGGTCGTCAGGCTCGGTGACTTGTTTGATTGCGTGTTACCGTGCCCCGATCGCTGCTCACAATATCGATCACTGGTTTGTCTTGTAACGACTCTTTTATTTACAGGCCGCCGTCACACAGCTTGAATATTGCTGAGTGCGGCGTTAAACAACAAACGGTTGTGAATTAAAAAAAGTGTCATCATGTCACCGTGACCCAAACAGATATAACGAAGCGAAACAGGAAATGTGAAACAGGAAATATTGTATCGCATAGCAACGCGTTCCTGGCGAACCAGGCTGTTCGGTGACGAAAGTATCACTTTACTGACCGATAGATACTACCTGTGAGGGATTAACTGAAATTAGTTTGATTATATATTGTTTCTCAAATCTACGAGGCATCGCCACCACAGAAAGCGATTAGGCCGCCCACAGCGTTTGTGAGGTGAGGTGAAATTGGATTTAATGTCGCGTCCAAGATTATCGCACTTATACTTCGTGTCTGTGTGTGTGGCTGCTTGTACTAGTCCGGACTGATGCCCATTTATAGTGCCAGCCCACTGAGATACTATGCCGCAGTTCAACATGAATACCCCACTCAGACACCGTATACTGACTCCGAGCCGACCAGTCCCTGTTTTATCCTCTTAATGCCGAGCGCAAGACAAGTAACATCTTTTAACGTCTTTTAGTATGGCGCGGCCGGGGATCGAATCCCGGACGTTTCGCTCTCCAGGTGGACGCTCTTTCACTAGACCAGGGAGGCGGAGGCTCTGTGTACAGTACAGAATAAGCAGTACTCGGAACTTAGCACGAAAGGCTCTATCTCATGCCCCAAAGTTAAGGGTTCAGAGGAGACCCTCGATTCAAACACTCTAGCAGTAAGCCTCAAAGACCTGAGGGCCTTTACGAATTTATTCATTTTAAACATCGACGATCTCGGTGAAAGAATATTGCTCCCTCCGATGAAACTGTCAAGAGGTCAACAGAATACGTATAAAACCTTAGTTTAATTGTATTAAAAACAAACTTCTTTTCAGACGTCCATCAGAAGAGTCGCTGCCTCGGGAAGAAATGCTGCGTGGTGTCCCTAGTGATTTTGTTCCTCTTCCTGACCTTCATCGCCCTCCCTGGAGGTGAGTCACGTGCTGCACCCGCGTTGTGGTCTGTGTATTTGTTTGCCGCGTTATTTGCTACATGAAATCAACGTCGTGTATCGCCTCTACTCGCAAGTCATTGTTATGCCCAAGTGGTGTTTGCGGGAAATGGCTCCATGTGAGTCGATTAAAATGGATCGGGTGGTCAGACTTGGTGACTTTGCTTTTTGCGTGCCATCGATGTTGGCTGTGTTAGCCTCTGGTTTGTCTGGTCCTAACTCGACTATTTACAGACCGCCGTGATATCATATTACGTAGAATGTTGCTGACTGGTGAAAATCAACATTCACGCACTCAACCTGAATTCTACTCTTTAGAATGTAATTGATTGGCCGTAGCAGGTGAAAGACACTCACTCACTCACTCACTCACTCACTCACTCACTCACTCCTTCACTCACCCACTCACTCACTCCACGAAACATCCTATATAGGGTGAAAATCAACATTCACTCACTCACTCACCCTGAACTATACTCTTTAGAATGTGATTGTTTGGCAGCAGCAAAAGCAAGACCTTCACACCCTCACTCAACCATCACTCACTCACCCACTCACTCACTCACCTTTATCGGGTGGTTCCGTGTCGATAGAAATCTCCCACATGGGTATTTTTTCACAACAACGAAGTGTGAACAAGTTTATAGTGTGCACACCTTGTTTCCAAGATTTTTGGGGGCTTTCGGCTTAATTAAGGTCTAGCTCGTGATATTTACCTTACGGTTTTCCTTCTGCCTAAGGTCCAGCATCTGTAGCACTAGCCGTCATATTGTAAACGAGACGCCCGTATGTCCAAGTTTCCATGTAGTGTCTGTCTACAGTGTGCGTCGTTTCTATATTCCAGGTGTGATGCTGATCGTCCATGGCGGGAAGGCCAGACGGAAAGGGACGCTCGCTGGAGGAATCGTTCTTGTGTGTCTCCCAGTACTAGCAACGATAGGTTTATTAGCTGCCTTTTTCGGGAGGAGAAGAATGCAAAAATTACGTGCCCAGAATGCTGTGACAACCACAGACCCCGTCTGAGAGTTATCTGTTTGTAAGGTGTGAATGACGCAGATATGACTGTCTCCGTGATGACATGTATGACTGATCTGAAGATGCTGAAGATGAGGCATCAGTTCTGGACTTTTATACCTGGTTGCTGTTGATGGACTATGCCACCAGTGGACACTTTATATCAGCAGACAAGACATTGACCGTTTGTCAGTGCATCTTGTTCACGTTGGTCGTGTCAGTGACATCGATGATACATATGAATGATCCGAAGATGATGAGGACGAGGCATCAGCTCTGGACTTTTGTACCTGGTTGCTGTGGAAGCTACAGGAAATGAGGACTAGTCCACCAGTGGACACTTTGTATTATCGAACAAGACATTGACCGTTTGTCAGAGACCTTGTTCACGTTGGTCATGTCAGTTACAACGTAGGGATGACATATATTTGTGCAATGGAGGAAGAAGACCAAAGGTCAGGGTAGTGATATACACACCGTGCGTATGTTGAGTACTATTAATCAACTAGTGGAGGGACACACATAGACATAGGCATGTGCTGTCCCGACAGGGAAGATTTAGTGAACCGCTCAATAGGTCAGGCCACTTGGGAAGAGCTGTTTCTGGCGCCACACAATCACAAGGCCACAACCCGCATGGTGTGTTGATGATTGAACAATACTCGTTTACAAACTGTTGAAAAAAAGCAACGAACGTGCAAAGTGTAAAAAAGGCAATCAGTATTTTAACTCATCAAATTATGTACAAATGGGTATCGTCATGGTGAAAAAATTGGACTCGAAAGTGTTCGGGAAACAATGACATAAGTTGTCTGCTTTAGTGCTCAGAAACAACCAGAGTGGACAACCAAGTTATGTACGGTTGTTGTGTCACACGGGGTCAAGGTCGTGGCCATTGTAAAAAATGACACGTACAACGATTCTCGTCATCTCAAGCATGGTGATATGAGGGACTCGCTATTCACATACTTAACTGGAGATATTTACCACGCTTGGATAGGTCAACAGAACTTATTTATGAATTCTTTGATTCTATTATTTCACAAAAAGGAACAAAAGAACGTTTGATTTTTATATTGAGACATTCTGTTAAGAAAAAACCTGAATGTACGTTTATGAAGACTGATATCATAATAAAACATGACATCAACCAGTAAAACACATTACAGAGGCGCTCTGTTTGGATGACGTTGTGATCATTGAGACCAACCTGATCATTGTGACTTTTGTAGGTGAGATGCTAGTTTAGTGAACTTTGGTAAAGCTGTCCATTTGTTCCAAGGGAACATATTGTCGGACTTAAGTTTTTGACAGGATTCAGTAAGCAGTGTGTGGTTACAACAATCGTTTATTCTGTGTCCACTTTCAGATCATGGGAGTCGACTGCAACCCGTGTTGTACAACCCAATGTATTGCTCAAACAAAAGTTCTATGTGTAATCGTTTTTGTTGACCTATATTAACCCATTCTCTTTCGTTGGATCAAGTGTTTTATATACACAAGCATTGTGAATCTTTGAATCTACTTTTATACTCAAGCATCTTCATATCTTTGGATCTTGCTTCATACTCAAGCATCTTCAAATCTTTGGATCTGATGTTATACTCAAAGATCTTGAATCTTTGGATCTACTTTTATACTCAAGCTTCTTGAATCTTAGGATCTTGGATATTATACTCCAGGATCTTGAATCTTTGGATCTTGGCTGTTATGCTCCAGGAACTTGAATCTTTGGATCTTGGATGTTATGCTCAAGGATCTTGTATCTTTGGATCTTGGATGTTATACTCCAGGATCTTGAATCTTAGGATCTTGGATGTTATACTCCAGGATCTTGAATCTTGGATGTTATACTCCAGGATCTTGAATCTTTGGATCTTTGATGTTATACTCCAGAATCTTGAATCTTGGGATAATGATCTAGTGTTATTTTCAAGCATCTTGAATCGGTTGTAATTTAACCTGGTAGCAGTCCCCTAAGATAAATTCGAAAATTGTTCTTTATAAAAAGTTCCGAAACAAACCCCCAAGGCTACATGTATATGTCTTTCATATGCTCTGTCACTGAATCAACGGAAGCCTAGGTCTAGAGAGGTTTTGTCAGGGAACTGTGATGTGGGAACTAGTCACTTGGATCAGAGGGTAATACGTATGAACGTTTGAAACAGCTTATCGCGTGCACAAGTTCTGGAGGAACGGACAAATATAATGACAGTAAAGACCCTGTGTTTCTATTGTGTAGAAAGTAGGGGTAAGCTTTCAGTGTTGTAAATTTAGCCTCAATGACCATCCTTCAAATTCACCTCCCAGTAAGTAAGCACGAAAACTAGTATACATATACAACTATCTTGATGGCTCAGTTTCCCTGCTCACTGTTAACTGACAAGCATGATGCAGCATCGTCTTCATCTTTCAATGGCCAAGATATGAGTGACATTCGTTCAATTTCTGTTCTCTTTCAATACTTCGGTACTGGTACTGGTACTGGTACGTCGAGCAGGCGATACACTATTAGGAAGGGCATGGCTTTAGCATGTAGCTCTACAGATGACGTTGAAATCCATGACAAGCCCGAGTTCATAAAATATGCACTTCCTTCAAAAGGATGTTACTTTTAAATATGCCTCAATTAATTTCATGTCTAATATTTCGCCTGACTTATTATATCTCGTTGCTAAGTAACGTGGTTTACTGTATACTGTGTAGCCTATAGGTAAATAAACACTGATCAAGTATGTATATTTTGTATGTATAAAGTTTTGTTTCCGTGGTAGAATTCTTACATTTCAGCATGCTAGATCATTATTTACATAAGAATTAAAAACATGAAACGTCACCATTGTATGATCGTATATTTTCAAAAAATTAATTTACATTGAGAATATTGATTAAGATATACATACATGTATTATCAGTTATGTTTTTATTCATTGCGGTCCTATTTTAAAATCAGTATTTCCGATGGATATTCTTTGATGTATATATATATTGTATATTGTATTCAGCATTACCATATGTATAAAAGAACCCTGCTGTACAGTTCTGTGATAGAGGCGAGCGGGTTTCTATGTGTAGACAGCCAGTTAAAGACGCCGTACACCTAACACGGAAACATTTCAAAACTGATATAGAGTTTATTTCTTGTGAGATTTATATCATTTTTTACATGTTTATCAATGAAATGATTCGAAGACGACAGACGGAAAACTTATTTTCATATGCCGTGGACGTGAACAGTAGGTTGATATGTTTTAGTTTCGTGTAGTTTATGTCACGGTTCGTGTTGTTGTCGTAGGCCACGTCGCGTGAGTGGCAGACCACGTCGGGCGTATCGCTGTCCACGTCGGGTGAGTCATGGCATGGTAGGGGTCAAATTGGCGGGAGCCTGCTACCGAACTACTGATTCTCATTAAGTACCGATGTGCGTTAATTAAAACAATATTCACTCGCTCAATGAACGAGACACACGCCCGTATGGCAGTCAGGCCGTGTTATGTGTTCCAACGAAAGAACGAGTGATGTACGTCCCTCGGTCGACTGAGGTTCGTTGTGTTGTATGTGACGACTTGCTCATGTTATCTGTCTCGATCGTTTACTCAAGATGGCTATTTTATCTGGATATGTTCCTCATACTCATGTTCATGAATAAACAAAACTGAGATGTTCTGTGAGCGTGTTCACTATTTTGTCCAGATTGTTTTTGTTTGTTTGTTGTTTAACGCCACACTCAGCAAAATTCCAGCTATATGACGGCGGTCTGTATAATCGAGTCTGGCCCAGACAATCCAGCGATTGACATCATGAACATCGATCCACGCAATTAGGACACGATGGCATGCATCAACCAAGTCAGCGAACCTGACCACCCGATCCCGTTAATCGGTCTGACGCCAAGCATCGTCGCCTCTTACAGCAAGCATTGGTTGCTGAGAACCTATCCTACCCCGGATCTTCTACACGGAAGTATACACTGGAGTCAGGTAGTCAGGTGTCATATTATGTTGCATAATTCATAATATCATCATTATGATGATATGCAACTGAAATATGCATTAATAACAATCTACAGCTCCAAAAAACATTGAGTTAACCAAAAACGTCAACGCCATGGATTAGCTGCCGATGGCGTAAGAAGCAAGATAGTGGTGAACAAAGTCAGTGATAACACCAGGTGTTTGCGTCAAGTGTAAGTATGTCTTGCTCTCCCGGTAGCAGCCCCCGTCTCCCAATTGTCCAGCAAATATATTTATGATATCAATTGCTGTAAATTAATCCTGTCGGAATCCCCCAGGTATTGATTGTCGCCTATTGGGTTCATTCATGAATTGCGGTAATAGAGCACTGTCGGTATAAAACTGTCATTGGTGAGACACTGCAGGTACACCCATGTGTAGATCAGGGTTCAATGTTCGCAAGCTGTATGGTCAAAGGGAGGTAATTTAGATATATCGACGCGTAGATGTCAATACCAAGAGAGACAACTCTTTCATATCTCGGCTGCACATTTACCGGTTTAGCTGAATAGCCCCCTCCCTACCGCTACTGACCTCATACGCAGACCCCACCTACCGCCACCACCCTCCACCCTTTGAATCTCTGTCTTCCGCCACTACCCACCACCCCCTAAACACCCATCGAGTGCCTCTACCCACCACCCCCTAAACACCCATCGAGTGCCTCTACCCACCACCCCCTAAACAACCGTCGAGTGCCACTACCCCATCCCTTAAACCCTCGTCTAGTGCCACTAACCTCCACCCCCTAAACCCCCGTCTTCCTCCACTACCCTCCACTCCCTAAACCCCGTTTAGTGCAACTGTCCTCCACCCACTAAACCCTCGTCTGGTGCCACTAACCTCCACCCCCTAAACCCTCGTCTAGTGCCACTAACCTCCACCCCCTAAACCCCCCGTCTTCCGCCACAACCCTCCACCACCTAAACCCCCGTCTTCCGCCATTAACCTCCACCCCGTAAACCCCTCTCTATTGGCACTACCCCCAACCCTCTAAACCCACGTCTAGTGCCACTACCCTCCATCCCCTAAACCCCAGTCTAGTGCCGCTACCATCCACTCCCTAAGCCCCCGTCTTCCGCCACTACCCTCCATCCCTAAACCCCCGTCTTCCGCCACTACCCACCACCCCTTAACCCCCGTCTAGTGCCACTACCCATCACCCCTTAACCCCCGTCCATTGCCACTACCCTCCACTCCCTAAACCCCCGTCTAGTGCCACTACCATCCACCCCCTAGATCCTCGTCTTCCGCCACTACCCTCCACTCCCTAAACCCCTGTCTAGTGCCAATAACCATCATTCCCTTAACCCCTGTCTTCCCCGACTACCCCCCACCCCTTAACCCCAATCTTCCGCCACTACCATCCACTCCCTAAACCCCAATCTTCCGCCACTACCCTCCACCCTCTAGACCCACGTCCTCCACCACTATCCATCCACCCTCTCACCCCCTTCCTCAACCTTGACATACACACGCTCCGTAACAGTGACCTTTACACCGGCTAATGTTCTCCAGACATTACGGATACATTAAATCACATGTGTGTTAATGTTGTGATATATGTATATTGATAGAGCCACCGTGCAGGTTAATGTGGGTCCTATTATCTATAAGGACGTTATGGCTCGCCAAGGGCAAGGGCATTTAGTGGTCAACACGAAGTAGTGTCCAGTCCAGTCTTAGCAAGGTCAAGATGAAACAGTTTAACCTTGCAAAACAGTTTGCAAAATTAATGAAGTTTCAGAATATAGAATATCAAGTTTATAGTGTCAAGTTTAACGCAGCTTTGAACAGTATTACAGTTATATCACGGCGTGTCAGCTTAATGTGGGAGGAAAGCCCGAAGTGATGCAGGTCTCAGACGTTTACCACTTCGCTGAAACCTACGAGCACGGGTATGGTGTTGATAAACCTAGAAACATAATCGGGGCGAACAGGGACTCGAACCAACAATCATAGGTTTCTGGCGTGCCCAAGGGACGCAACTCTGCACAGCGAATGGCGGCGCCTTAGACGACTGGGCCACCTGTGCCCACCCACCCACCCAGCCTGTCATTTTGGAACGCATGGTGTGGATGAAGGAACATGCAACAATCACAAACCACAAGAAAATCACACGAAAAAGCCAAATCTTATTTGATTCAACGACAAGATCATACCGTCTGCCATGCCCTAGTATAATCTATCAAACTCTCACATTTATCAGTTATATTAATTGTGACTTTTTCTAAATTCAGGTAAATAATGTGTAATCACCCTCAAATCAAAGGGAGATCATTGAAAACAATTGTTCCTCAAGCGTCTTGTTTTTTAAATGAACCTTTTTGTTCTAATTATTTGGTGGAGACTAGATAAAAACTGGCAGTTTGAGCAACAAAATATTGAAATTGGTGAACATAATCATGTATGAGACAAAATGAATGAGTGAGTGAGTATGGTTTTACGTCGCTTTTAGCAATATTCCAGTAATATCACAGCGGGGGACACCAGAAATTGGTTTCACACATTTTACCAATGTCGGGAATATGAGACAAAAGAACATAGAGTGAACATCATGTGTTACATAGCAACCCATCAGCCTTGGGTTATCAAGTACTCCCACAACGGATTTTGTCATCATAATTTGCAATGTCCGATACACGTTCCTAAGCATATATACGGCATACATACAGTAAATATGCTCTAAATGGCCGGGATCAAAACACAGTTCGATATATCAGTCAGTTCGTTATAAGCGTGTTCGTTATAAACGTAGTTTATTGTATTTATGTCAATCTTTCGCTTTCGCAAAATGACGTCTGGGTCAGGTCTTGGCAATGGATATCGCAATCATTACAAAATAGTTTGTCGAGGAGCAATTACATAGTACGTTTCAAGGAGAGCATCCGGTCTCGCGACGACATATCGCGACGACTTAAAAAATGGGCTCCTTGAAGTGAAATCACTTCAAAACACTTCACAGATAAGATCACAGATTCGTTATGATAAGAACAACAAATCTTGAGTTTATATAGTTAGCGATTTACTGACACATTTACTTTTGTTTTTGATTTGTTTGGTTTCATGAGATGACGTCGGTTTAGAAATCAAACAGTTTCCATGTCTCGTCACTCGTTATGCCATTGATTGGACATCCGATTGTCATTAAACAGTTCATGTATTTCCAAGCCTCAATAAATATCCACGAAATTAAACCACCCAAACGCTCCCTGACAGATTTGATGTATAAAAAAACATAATCAGCTCGAAGACATAAAATCCATGAAAAAATAATGTTTCGTCTGTTAGGACAAACATAAATCTGACTATCTACACAAAGCAGGCTTGATATATTTATATCGAAAAGCTCCAGAGAACTGTCTTCAGATAATAGCGTCACTTGTGTTAGCTACAAAAATAGCTGCAATTAAACACATATATCCACAAGAAACGCAGGTGGAATATATCACTAAGACAGTCATGTGACATGTATAACCTGACGTCACATCAATCACGTGACACGGGCCGTCTCTCCTGTCAAGGGATTCGGCTTTGGTGTTTAGAGAAGGGAAACATCTATTTAGACATACTTGCTCGGATGTAGGTTTATTGGGCAGTCGTGCGCTTGATACATTCGTGTTCTGACCTAACGTGGCCTGTTTAGCCCAGGTATAGCAAGATGTTCAGCATGATGTTCTACAGATGATGTTCTACAGATGGTGTTGAACATGTTCTACACAGTTTTGTAATAAAAATGACAATGCATTTGGGTTTTTTATAAGACAATTAAAACGTGTATCGTGGGTAGAATATGTATTTTATAGCTTCTAATATTTCGATTAATTCATTCATTCACAAACCAACCGTTAATTTATTAAATCGGTTTTTCGCTTGCGCCACTGTTTAATTATAGCTGAGAAAAACCTATAAATGAAACGATCACACCATCCATGGATGTTAATAACAAATTGAGTAAAAAATGACACATGTTTAAAGCGTAATCAGGCAATCAAAAGTTATATAAAGTGAATCTTTGCATGCCGGATTTTTCAGGATGGCGTTACCATAAGCATCTCATGCGCAAGGAAGGATTTTACAACGCAGTATTGTTTTATCAAACTATTCACTTCCAATAGCAAGCATATTATGAGGTAAATAGACCACGGTATGAGTAGAGGTAAAAACTGCCCTAACATGACCATATACGTGCTCGTGTATCCGCGGGAGTTAGACATGATCGAGGAAATACAAGTACCATCACACCTTTCCTTCTCGGGCAAGTATGTTTGGTGAATATTTTTCCAGCGAAATGTCGTCATGACCTGAACAGATTCAGAAGTTTAAAACGGATACACGGTAACTTAACACTAACATTACATAGGTTTTCATATCTAAGTTATTGAATGCGATTCCAGTAAGGAATATATAAAACATATATGTATGTTAAGAAATTTACAAAATAATTACATGACACGGATTAATCATGTTTCAGCTTTATCTTCAGGGAGAAATGATAGCAGTTACATATTATATTATGACACCAGTGAATCTCACCACTTTTTATGTATTTATGGTGTACAAGAAGATTTGTGAATTTATTTACAAATGTGTTACTGTATTCTGAATCCAATGTAAATGCTTCAGCGTGCATTAAACATGTAAACAGTCCGTGGCATAGGGACAATGTATGACGTACATCCAGAACCTCTGAACCCAGAGGTGATAAACAGTTTCAAGACGTCTCATAATCATTGCTTATCTCGCAGAAGACATAAACAATGTTCAACTGGCATGTTACGTAGCTGAAATGTTAAGATAACGTCAAACACGATTCTCAGTTTTCAAGCACATGTAGTGATATAAAAGAAAAAAATCCCTACCTTGAACCAGAACAAGGTCTTCTGAATGGTGAACTCTTGTTTCAGTATCCCTCTGTAGAACTTGATAAGATGACATACACCGCCAGCCAACGGCCGTTCAACTAACACTCTCCTTCCCCCTACACTAGGACGACTAAATATGGTTTAGAAGACTCTAGTGTCATAGGAGCCCAGGGCAATCTTGCCATGATACATCGCATACGTTTGAGACAGGCCCCGGGGCCAATTGTGATGTCTTATTCAAGCACAATAATTCACAAAGCTGTGCTGTTGTACTTGGGGTCTCCTTGTAAACCTTGTCGTGTTGTAGTTGGGATAAATGTCTGTAATTTTCATTATTTCTGTAAAAATTATTAATGTGTTCATTTGTAAGGGGTGATTTGATATTTTAACAGTAGCGGTCACCTTGACCCTGATAGAAAGATAAATTAATGTTGCTTGCACTGTTTTTTCAAGAGGTATTTGTCATTCAAGAGGTCATTTTCGTATCAAAGGTCAGGGGTGTCTTAGAAGGATAAAGCTTTGGTTAATACAAGTAGAAATGCCAAATGACCAGTGTGGTCATGTTTCTGGCAATGGAAAATATGATTTTATAAAGTTTTAATATTTCTTTGGGACCTTGTCGGATATTGCACACCCCTAATCTTGTTGTTCCTATGTAAAATATACAAAACTAAGACAACTTGCTTGCTCGTGTTTTAATAAGCTGGAATCAGGTTGAACCGAAACACAAACAAAGGGAACATAAGTTCAGCAAAATTCCAGCTATTTGACGGCGGTCTGTAAATAATCGAATCGGGACCCGACAATCCAGTGATTGACATCATGAGCATCGATCCAAGCAATTGGGATGCGATGACGTGCATCAACCAAGTCAGTAAGCCTGACCACCCGATCCCGTTAGTCGCCGCTTACGACAAGCATAGTCGCAAGCATGGGTTGTTTAAGACCAATTCTGATCCTGATCTTCACGGGTCTCCTATTCTAAACCGATATGTTTTGTACAGCATAAGATAGGTGAGGTGAAATGGGGTTTAACTTCGAATTCGCGCGCTGAGACATATTAATCTGATTCCGAGTCACCCAAACCTTGTTTTAGCTTCTTTATGCCGAGTTTCAGGCAGGGTAGAGGCACGGGTGACCCAGTCGTCTAAGGCGCCGCGACTCGCTGTGCAGATTTGCGTCCCTTGGTCACGCCAGAAACCTATGATTGTGGGATCGAATCCCTGTTCGCCCCGATTATGTTCCTAGGTTTATCAGCACCATACCCGTGCTCGTGGGTGTCACCGAAGTGGTAAACGTCTGAGACCTGCATCACCTCGGGCTTTCCTCCCACATTAAGCTGACACGCATTGATATAACTGGAATACTGTTTAAAGCGGCGTTAAACCCAACTCACTCACTCACTCACTCATTATAGGACAATAAATTAACTTTTCCACTTCAATCAAGAATTCATTACAATATTCGCTTTAACATCCTGGATTCCTCCTCACTTTGAAGTCGAATAAAATTCAAAGTACACCACGCACTTAAATACACTTCAGGGGTTTCAATTCCGTGGGGAATTCCCTCTACTGCGATATCATGAAACCAAAATAACGGAAAACGACATCTGAAAATTAGGAACATCGTAAATCTCGCCATTATTGACACATTACTTAATCACCATCCACGGCGCTTTTTACAGTATGTTATGAAATCAAAATATGGGAAACGAACGCCGAAGTGAATTCGCCATACTGGACTGTGTTCATAAAATAACGTTTCACGGATGCGGTTATGGGACGCCTATTCCATCACGTATATTTCAAACTCAGCTACGATACAGGCATCCCTGAATTCCTCAAACATTTCAGAATCAATTGATAGATGTTCTTGTCAACAATACAAACTGTCTAGACCAACTAAAGTGAAATAGATTAGGTTTGAAAACGAACGCTGTACACGAGAAACTGAACTTAGCAACGTTCTTACATTGCAGGATGTTCTCTTATTCTGAGAGATCCATTCATCTATTCGCTGCATACAATGCACTGGAATAGTATCGAAGCAAGAATGATGGAATTAAAAATAGGTACATTACAATGATTTGGTAAATTCAAAAGAAATATGTCAACGTTTCCGCCCTGCGTAAGTATTATCTCACGTTAAATAAATAAAACTCCAGTTGATTAACAATGAATTATGTTTTGTATTTCTGGAATAAGAACAACTCTGTTTTGCGTAAGTGTGAAGGATATTCCCGCAACTGGGTCACTGCATATTCCATTGTATTCGGTAACTTAAATAGCCTTAAATGTGCATCACAGTTAAATTGGGGCCCCTTAAACTTCATAATACGAATTTATAAGAAATTAATTAGGTATTGTGTTGCTTTACTAGAGCGTAAACGTTTTAAACAGAGTAAGTTAAAATCGCATAAACGCCGGAGCTTTCTTAAATGAACGACACCATTTGACGTGCATATGTTTTTTCACATTTCTTGAAATGACGTGAACACCAACGGACTACTTCCACGTTCACAGGGAAACCCTGGGAATTCCCTTGCACGGACACATACAGAAGCGTTGTTTTTCATAATTTAGACCCTTTTATGAAATACATATCCGCTATCGTAGTATAGACTCGATCTACAGCAGTCTATGAACTTACATGTAAATACAAGCCCGTCTTCATGCCGAGAAAGGGGCGATCGGCTAGCCTAGTGGTTAAAGCGTTAGCTCGTCACGCCGAAGACCCGGGTTCAATTCCCGACATGGGTACAATGTGTGAAGCCCCGTGATATTGCTGGAATATTGCTAATAGCGGCGTAAAACCGAACTCACTCACTCATGCGGAGAAGGACTCTATCGTGACCATGAAACTACACCGCCCTTAACGAGATATCGAGATAACGGACTTTGTGTTGAAGACTACTTTGTATGTTTGTTGCTCAACGCCCCACTCAGCAATATGCCATCAAAACGAGGTCGTTCTGTGAATAATCCAGTGACTGACATCATGAGCATCGACCTACGCAATTTGGATATAACATGCATCAACCAAGTCAGCGAGCCTGACCACCCCATTCCAAAAGTCGCCTCTTACGAAAAGCATAGTCGCCTTTTCCGGCAAGTATGGGTTGCTGAAGACCTATTCTATCCCGGATCCTTACGGGTATGAAGACCTGTATCCCGGATCTTCACGGGTATGAAGACCTGTATCCCGGATCTCGAGCTCATTTCCGTCCCCTCGAGACGTTGTAATGGCCGCGTCTCTGTCTCAGTGTCTCTGTGTAATTGCTGTAACCCTTACACTGATGTACTCGCCAGTATCAAAGCAATTTACGCCAGACCCGGTATTGACATTGCAAAGTGAGTTATTACCCTACTCCATTGTAGAGCGTGTCGCTCTGTCTCCTGTTGCCAGTATGGGTTTTGTATGATAAAACAGTGATCGGACGAATAAGTAAATACCTTTTTCTTAACTTTCAATAGAATAACATTTACACAACCTTATGTGAAGCACACTTTTTTCCGTTAGTATATACTAGTTACTTGAGTAAGAGAGGTTTTGCAGTGAAACTAGCTGGGCCAGTCTATAAGCCCGAGACATGGCTACTTTTCGGAGTTTTATAAAATTATGTTATATCTTATTACTCCACAATAAACTGACGTTTAAAAAACAATTCGGATCCTCAATTGTAATTCACGTTTAAACTTTACACATTCACTTTATATCATTGAATACAATTTGTTGTATTTGTGCGACATGTTTCACTACGATTTCATTTCCATGTTTCACGTTATAAACTAATCAGACACAAAACGACTATGTGTACTTTCTTTTGGGCGTCAGTTTAGCTAGAAAATACCGTATTCAATGTAATAAGCGCCCCGCTCTAATAAGCGCCCACGGCGATATTTGCTCATATACTGGCTAGTGAACAATCCCAATTAGCACCCTTCTGATTGATAAATGTACACAAGGCTATTTTTTCGAGCATAATTAATACGTTTGTTATATGCACCTTTAATTATGGGCAATTAAATTCTGGAAAAATATATCTGTCGTTTATAAACATTTCAGCATAAACCACGAAATTTACGCTCTTTGAACTAAAAAATATATATTCTAATAAGAGCCCCCTATTTCTAATTTTGAGAGCGCCCTGGCGCTTATTATGTCGAATACGGTAGGCGAGTGCGGCGTTAAAAATCACTGTTAGGCGGTGCTGAATTCTTTCCGAATGGAAATTTAACGATTGCCTTATTCACAATGTGGGCATTGATATTTTTGGGAGAGTCTGTGATCATAGTAGTAAATAGCCCATGTAATTGAAATGTACTGACCCAAAATTTAAAGTTGATGTGTTTTCAGTATAATCAGTAATAATGATGGACATTAACGTGCCAGTGTTTATAATTCTGTTTGGGAGTGATTGAGTTTGGTTTAACCAACTTAAACAGTATTCCAGTTATAACACGGCGTGTCAGCTTGATGCGGAAGGAAAACCCGAAGTGATTCAGGTCTCAGACGTTAAACGCTTTGGTGGAACCGGGGTAAGGTGAAAATCGAACCAGGATCCGAACTCGTCATCAAAAGTTTATGACGCGCGTAAAGGGACGGAACTCTGCACAGAGAATTGCGACGCTTTAGGTGATTGGGCCACCCGTTCTTCGATAACTTTGATCTTCTCGCAAGTGCATTGTATGGCGGCGCATTGTACACGTGCTGTACTGGACCCGAATTATTCCGGTTGTATATCGTGAGCCCACTGAGATGCCATGCCGCAGTTCAACATAAATATCAGGGGCAATGGTGTAGCCTAGTGCTTAAATCGTCCGGTTTGATTCCCAAGATGGGTAGAATGCGTGAAACCTATGTCTTCCGCAGTGACATTGCCAGCGGATTAAAACCATATTCACTCACTCACTCACTCACTCACTCACAACCACCTACCCACGCACCCATTACCAGCTCATTCATTCACTCTTACTCACTCACTCAAACCACCACCCACCCACACTCACTCACCAAAACCCAGCCAGCCACCCACACTCACTCACTCACTCACTCACTCATTCACAACCACCTACCCACGCACCCGTTACCAGCTCATTCATTCACTCACTCACTCACTCAAACCACCACC